GTCAGCGCTTTCTAATTCCGAAATCCTTAATGATCTTCCCAAATACTTTCAGGATAATCATAGTGCACCTCTCGTCAAGATCTTCAGAGAACATCAAGAGTTGTTCAGAGATGATCCCCAAGAGTGTAATGTTACCCAGCACGACATCCAACTGCTCCCCGACACCCGGCCGATTCGTCAACCCTTCTACCGAATCAGCCCGAGCAAGAAGGAAGTCATGCGTGCTGAGGTGCAGTACCTCTTGGACCATGGACTGGCTACACCTTGTGAGTCCCCCTGGGCCTCACCTTGTATCTTGGTGCCCAAACCCCAAGGTAAGGTGCGGTTGTGCACTGACTATCGTAAACTGAACTCTGTCACTGTCAAGGATGCTTACCCCTTGCCAAGGATAGATGACATCCTTGATGCCATTGGTAGTGCCCAGTACTTGTCCCAAGTGGACTTGCTTAAGGGGTACTATCAAGTGTGTCTAACGGAGCGCGCTAAAGAGATATCTGCCTTCATCACTCCTTTTGGACTTTTCAGATATGAACGCCTTCCTTTCGGACTATGTAATGCCCCGGCCACCTTTCAAAGAGCTGTCAACCGTGTCATCCAGGGCTTGGATAACACATACGCCTACCTGGACGATATCGTCGTAGCCTCCAACTCCTGGAGTGAACATCTGCTCCAGCTGCGACGTCTGTTCTCCAAGCTCCTGACAGCCGGCCTCACCATCAACCTGGGCAAGTCCACTTTCGCGAAAGGTAAAGTGCGTTATCTGGGTCATGTTATTGGGAGTGGCAGCATAGCTCCGTTAGACTCACACACTCAAGCCATCCTACAGTATCCACAGCCTACCACCAGGAAGCAGCTCCTGCGCTTCCTTGGTCTTGCCTCTTACTACCGTAGGTTTGTGAGGAATTTCAGTACAGTCGCCACACCTCTAATTCTATTAACCAGTCCCAAGCAACGGTATAATTGGACCATGCAGCAAACCGTTGCTTTCGAACAACTCAAATTCCTCCTCTGTTCTAACCCCATTCTCGCCTCTCCAGATATCACCAAGCCTTTCGTCCTTCATGTCGACGCCAGTGGTACCGGCGTTGGTGGTGTTCTGATGCAACAACGAGGCGAGGAGGTTCTACCTGTCAGCTACTACAGCTACAAACTGAAACCACACCAGAGGAACTACAGCACTATTGAAAAGGAGCTACTATCCATCGTCCTGAACCTCCAACACTTCGCTCCGTACCTACAAGGCGCCAGGTCTACCACCATCTTCTCAGACCACAACCCTCTCCGCTTCCTACATCAAGCCCAATTCACCAACCAGCGTCTTCTACGATGGGCTCTGTATTTACAAGACTTCAACCTGGAGATCCGCTATATCAAGGGTTCTGACAACACCATAGCCGATGCCCTCTCCAGAGTTTATGAAGTAGAAGCGACTCCATCCATTACTCCACCACATAACGACGTACTTCTTCCAGAACCGCAGGCTTCGGGGGAGAGTTGTGACAATAATCTCCTTCAAGAGATTGAGCCTGCTCTTCCCTCCATAATTACGTCTTCACAATTATATAAAAAGACTATGGAAGAATGTCCAACAACGACAACAACACCAGCAAGGCTTGCCAGGGTGAGCAAAAACGTATGCAGCCCGCCACCTGTTCGGACCCAAATCACCAAACTACATGTTGATCGCTGACGGCTCCGCTGATTGGTCGCCGGTCTGGCTGCACCTGCCTCGCCCCCCCCAATACTACCTGATGTCTGGGGTCGCCCCAACATCAGTCCTCAGAATGTTCAGTGCTTTCGTAGCCAGCACTCCTCCCAGCTAGACGTTAGAGTGTACTGAGAGAGGTGGTGGCTTTAAGCCAATATTCCAGCACCTCCCATTTACTATTGTGTTGCACTTCTTGTTATTTTGCCTTAACGTAACTTTTCATTTTGTCATTTAAGTATTCTTATTATTTTGATTCATTGATTTTATTATAAGAATTTGTTTGTGCATTATTTTCATGTTTTGATTTATTTAACGTAATTAAAATTTCATTGTTAAAGTTTTACTTGTGTTTTGTGTGTCTTCTCCTTACCTTACCACAGACGAAGTTCCAGTTTTTCTATTTTTTTTTATAACTATGTGACGAGGCCATACCCCTAGCCTTAAACAGCCGAACACCAACGCGTTACCGTCACAGAGAACCTGGACACGGAGCTGTGAACATGAACGTCAAGAAAAGGAAGGAGGGAATTAGATTCCCACTCAACTTTGCAATGAATAGGAGCCAGATTGTTAAGAGAGGAGAGGAAAGGGTGGAAACGAATAAGGTCAAGAGGCCATAAAGCAAAAAAGCATCAACAGACCGAAGCCAGAGAGAGGGGGGGGATGAGTCTCTATTGCTCATTTGGGTACTCAATTTCCACCTGTGTCCCCTCAGTGTCTGTGTGTGTGTTGTGTGTATGTTTACCTTTTTTTTTTTTAAGTGCCTGTATTACAAAGCTTTATTCATTTGTGAGAAGAAGCTTATAAAATTTAAAACTTTGTATTTGTGAACACTTTAGTACATTGCAGTGCGCTGGTCTCCCAGGAAACCCATAGTGTTCTCTCTGATAGGTAACCAGTGCACAGTCAGTGCTCTCACTAATAGGTAAGCCCACAAGTAAGCAGGGCACACACAGTGCTCTCACTAATAGGTAAGCCCACAAGTAAGCAGGGCACACACAGTGCTCTCACTAATAGGTAAGCCCACAAGTAAGCAGGGCACACACAGTGCTCTCACTGATAGGTAAGCCCACAAGTAAGCAAGGCACACACAGTGCTCTCACTGATAGGTAAGCCCACAAGTAAGCAAGGCACACACAGTGCTCTCACTGATAGGTAAGCCCACAAGTAAGCAAGGCACACACAGTGCTCTCACTGATAGGTAAGCCCACAAGCAAGCAAGGCACACACAGTGCTCTCACTGATAGGTAAGCCCACAAGTAAGCAAGGCACACACAGTGCTCTCACTGATAGGTAAGCCCACAAGTAAGCAAGGCACACACAGTGCTCTCACTGATAGGTAAGCCCACAAGTAAGCAGGGCACACACAGTGCTCTCACTGATAGGTAAGCCCACAAGTAAGCAAGGCACACACAGTGCTCTCACTGCAACCCGTCCTCTTAAAAATAACGTCACTTTTGGCTCGTATGCGCACTATGGCCAAATTTGGACGTAATTTGAAATGAAATCCACTCACAAAAGTGACGTTCTGTTCCGTTTTCTATTTGAGTCGTCCGGCGTACGCGCTGAGGTTATAAGAAGACACTTTAAATTAACGTTTTTCATAACGTTTTGAAACTTTATGAGAATTTCCTGCCCACCTAACCTATCAGAGGACCCTTAACTTACTGTTGTTGAAAAAAAAAATCCCAAATTTATTTTCATATTTTTTTCAATTTCAAATTACGTCCAAATTCGGCCATACGGGCAAACGGCCAAAAGGGACGTTCTTTTTAAGAGGACAGGTTGCTCACTGATAGGTAAGCCCACAAGTAAGCAAGGCACACACAGTGCTCTCACTGATAGGTAAGCCCACAAGTAAGCAAGGCACACACAGTGCTCCCACTGATAGGTAAGCCCACAAGCAAGCAAGGCACACACAGTGCTCCCACTGATAGGTAAGCCCACAAGTAAGCAAGGCACACTCAGTGCTCTCACTGATAGGTAAGCCCACAAGTAAGCAAGGCACACACAGTACTCTCACTGATAGGTAAGCAGGACACACACAGTACTCTCACTGACAGGTAAGGACACACACAGTACTCTCACTGACAGGTAAGCACGACACACACAGTACTCTCACTGACAGGTAAGGACACACACAGTACTCTCACTGACAGGTAAGGACACACACAGTACTCTCACTGATAGGTAAGGACACACACAGTACTCTCACTGACAGGTAAGGACACACACAGTACTCTCACTGATAGGTAAGGACACACACAGTACTCTCACTGACAGGTAAGGACACACACAGTACTCTCACTGACAGGTAAGCACGACACACACAGTACTCTCACTGACAGGTAAGCAGGACACACACAGTACTCTCACTGACAGGTAAGCAGGACACACACAGTACTCTCACTGACAGGTAAGAACACACACAGTACTCTCACTGACAGGTAAGGACACACACAGTACTCTCACTGACAGGTAAGGACACACACAGTACTCTCACTGACAGGTAAGAACACACACAGTACTCTCACTGACAGGTAAGGACACACACAGTACTCTCACTGACAGGTAAGGACACACACAGTACTCCCACTGACAGGTAAGGACACACACAGTACTCCCACTGACAGGTAAGGACACACACAGTACTCTCACTGACAGGTAAGGACACACACAGTACTCTCACTGACAGGTAAGGACACACACAGTACTCTCACTGACAGGTAAGGACACACACAGTACTCTCACTGATAGGTAAGCACGACACACACACTACTCCCACTGATAGGTAAGCACGACACACACAGTACTCTCACTGCTGGAGAACCTAAATATTGTAGCTCCAAAAGAGAAGGCTCAAAGTCATAATAATAATAGTATCTGTAGGAGCCGTGATGAGGGTTCGAACCTTTGCAGTGAAGGTTCCCATGCACATGCTTCTAGCAACCATTTTAGGTTTAAACCTAAATTTGAATTATGTTTGAATTATCTAAATTTGAATTAGGTTCAAGCCCCTCATCACTGCTCCTATGGATTTTCTCATTGATGGAGTCACGTTAGTGTGATTACTCTCTGTGTAATAATAATAATAGCAATAATAATAATAATAATAATAATAATAATAATAATAATAATAATAATAATAGAGCATCATACTGGTACTATATCTGAAGTGATTCACTAAAGCCATTTATTAATTATGATGCATTATACTGTACTATTATTGCATGATATATAAGTAGCAATGACAGAAAGAATAGTACAAAGTAAGTCAACAAATTCTAATCACCTGAGGCATGGGTGAGAGTGCAGGTACTGGTCGTCTAACAGTAGGAGTGGTTGTAGTTTCTGTAGGGTTACTTGCTGATGACTGGATTGGATTGGCAGGCTGGATCACCGTTCGTGACATTCTAGAGATCGGCCCAAAACGACTTACTAATGGGGGGTCAAAAGGGATAAAATCATCCTTTCCTTTCGAGTCGTCTTTTCGGCCCGTGTACGTACGATAACCTGTGCTCGGATCATAATTTTTATCTATTGATTTTGAAGCAATATAAAAGTCAGCACCAGATGTCCAAATACTATACGTTGATGTGAATTCTTGTGGTTTGCTTGGTTCTTCACCATTTGCAATTTGGGTTGCAACTTGATGTGTTGCCTCTTTGCCGACAATTGTCTCCAGTTGATTTAAAATGGCCTCTTTTCTTTCTTTCAATTCTTCCATTGATTTAGACGCAACATTTGTTGCTGTTGTTAAGGAAGTAGTTGTGACAGTGGTGTTAACACAGAATGTGGTACAGTTAGTATCTGGCCAACACGAGACTAATGGGTGAAGTCCAGAGTTGGTCGGTTTTGTATTAGCAATAGGGATACAAAACTCACTAGCATGGCCAGTCACATTGTAAACTGGGGCTGTATTCAGAAGCATTGTGGGAGCATTTCCACCATATATATCTGGAACTATTGCTGCAGCCTGACCTGGAAAAACAGCCGTTGGTGCGGAAGGTATCGTCTGCTGCGGTGCTGCCTGAGCAAACACAGGAGGCTGACACGGGAAGGAACTGTAAGTATACTCGGCCATTGGTGCTGCATGAAAAGAGGTTGCAGCTAAGGCTGGTTGAATAATTGCCGGGGCAGGCGTTGGGGCAGGTAAAACTGGCAATGATTGAGTATGAGCTGGAATATGCACAAACTTGTGTGGGTCAAATGGAGTGGGAGTTGTGGGCACCTCCCCACTCTGCATAATCTCTTCAACTGTACCAGTCTTCTGAATGACTGCAACAGGTGGATGCTCTCCATTTTTTGTAGTTATTACAGTTTCTACACTTCCTTGCGGATGCTGCGTCTGTTGTTGGGGTTGTGTTGGATGCTGCTGAGATTGATGGTTATGCATTTGTTGTTTGATAGCTGGAGTTGTAGGTGGTTGTGGAATGCCTTTGCCATGTTTTCGACTTCTATTCCTGTATTTCTCAAGTTCTTCTTCAGAATGAGCAAATGTGCAATTATTTCCACGCGGGCATCCTCCTCTCTGGGTCAGATCTCGACACATGCTGGTCTTGTACTTTGCATTATGTGGGTGATGGGCATCTGGCATCTTGCGATTCCCATGATGCTGTATAAAATGCACCAATCCAGTAACAACAGCTCTAACAGCTTCCATTGCTGCTGCACAAGGCTTCCAGCCTGGAGGGGGAGCATCTGGGGAGGGGTCCAAGGCTGCTAGCAGCTCTAGCTGCGGTCTTAAGGATGACAATTGGCCGGGGTCTCCCGTTCTTTGGAGTGCTATCACCAATTCCTGTAATGAAAACGACCTCCAGGTAATAATCTAGTGTAAAACACCATCGTGCAAACATATCTCGAGAGAACAATCACGCCCAACTCTTTATAATCAAGCCTTTAACAAACTCCACTGCAACAACACCTTCAAACCCTTCAAAGTTTGAAAAATTAGAACATTACTGAGTAGCGCACACATTTTTTATCTTCCATTTTCAGTGATTGCTGGAAAATAGTATTATAGTACGACCCATCAATCTGATCAATACATGTAATTCACTAAGAATATGTAAAAATGTGTTGGCATGACAATTTTAATGCTTGATGACTATATAACTAAAGAAGGTAACAAAATCTTGTCATTTCATATTGGCCGGTATTCTAGTAAATGCCGAGTATTCCTACCGAAACTCCTCGTAAATGCATACCAAGAAAGTTTGTTTACCAATAGTAAATGCTGAGTATCCCAACCGAAACTCCTCATAAATGCATACCAAGACAGTTTGTTTACCAATAGTAAATGCTGAGTATCCCTACCGAAACTCCTCATAAATGCATACCAAGACAGTTTGTTTACCAATAGTAAATGCTGAGTATCCCTACCGAAACTCCTCATAAATGCATACCAAGACAGTTTGTTTACCAATAACAAGAAGGCATATTATTACACACTTGAACAGACTGGCCAAACGACTGCGGTGTCTGGAGCTTATCTATAATAGACTGCATGTGGGACTTATGAGCAGTGTCACCGTAGAGGAGAGATGACCACTGATCTGGTGCAATTCTCAGACCAGCTTCCGTTGCAATTTGGACTATCTGGGCATCATGCTCTCGTCTTAGGGCTTCATAAGTTCTAAATTCTTCCTTCAACTGCATGAGTGATGAGTCTCCTTCTCTTTTGGATACCTGGAGGTTAGAAACTATTATTAAAATAAGATACCATGATAAGACACAGTTTTGCAACCAATAATTAATTACCAAATTCACTCAAATAACTCTACAATTTAGTAAAACTTGTAGATTTTTATAAACATATTCTCCTCCCAATTTCTAGAGCATGCAGCTCCCATCACACTACAGCCAGAAGCAAGGACCAACAGTCCCTGATGGGACAGTGGTAAAACACTCACCCCACACTTCTCAAGTAATTTAACCTACATTCGTATTCGTTGACTAGGCATTAATCCTTATCTGTTCACCCTGCAGTGATTGGGTACCTGGTTGTTAAATGATTGGCATGTCATACTCCTAGAAACTAGTGGGTAAGGCTTACTATGAGCTATGGGAAGGGAAAGCTCTCAGCCTACTAACAGGAGTCAGCAGTCGTCAGCTCCTGTGCCCTCCTGTGTAAAACTAGAAGGGTAAGGCTTACCATGAGCTATGGGAAGGAAAAGCTCTTAGCCTGCTAACAGGAGTCAGCAGCCGTCCTGCTCCTAGGGGAGCCGGTCGGCCGAGCGGACAGCACGCGGGACTTGTGATCCTGTGGTCCTGGGTTCGATCCCAGGTGCCGGCGAGAAACAATGGGCCGAGTTTCTTTCACCCTATGCCCCTGTTACCTAGCAGTAAAATAGGTACCTGGGTGTTAGTCAGCTGTCACGGGCTGCTTCCTGGGGGTGGAGGCCTGGTCGAGGACCGGGCCGCGGGGACACTAAAGCCCCGAAATCATCTCAAGATAACCTCAAGATGATAACCTGTACCCTCCTGTGTAAAACTAGTAGGGAATGGCTTACCTTAAGTTGGCACAAAAAGTTCACCTTGATCAGCAGAGATCTGAACCCTGGCACGATCTTTCCGGGAAGCGCAAGAACGACCACCCCAGATCACCAACAAATCAGAAAGAGGATGGCAACTAGCAGAAGCCGACTGCAAAAAACTGAGTAACAACCGAGTTCGCAGATAACAATGAACAAAAACCAGCGTTGAATGTAATGAAACGCCATTTTCCGGATTTGCCCACGGAGGCTCACTGGCGCTATCAGACTGATATGTGATATATTAGTCTAGGGCATTAATCAATTTTGTTTAGCCTACCGGGAACCACAAGCCAGAACCTGGCCCTCTAAGAAAGGCAAGGGAGTAATGGCCTCTGGAAAACCCCCTGTGGTTGGGGGTATTCCTAATCTGCCATCGACTGGGATTAGGCATCCAGAAAAGTAGGCATAACAAAACTAACCCCACTTAGTAAGAAAATTACAACCAAAGATCGAACAGGGAGGCAGAACTCCCCCAACTCTCAAAGAAACAAGCAAACAAGCATACGCCATATACTGCCACCGTGCCTCTTGTCTGCACAGCCCTCTCCTCCCCCCGGAGGGGGAAAGGGTAGCCCAAGACCCCCCCCTCGTGCTGGCTACTCACACCTCCAGTTCAGAGGCTAAGCATCAAATGCAAAAGGAAACCGGCGACCGGAGGGAGGGAGGGTGCCAGGGAGCCTCTCGGGCTCACCCAGAAAATGGCGTTTCATTACATTCAACGCTGGCTTTCTGTGGGGAGCCCCTTCGGCTCCCTGCAGCTACATAACTCACGATAAGTTAAAGAGGGACTTACCCAGGAGGCGGTCGCCATGCACTCCTCAACTCGAAGGCAAGACAACTGGTTGCAATCTGCAACCCAATGCCACACACGAACGAGCAGAACCAGGAATGTTGACCAAATAACGGGTGGCTAGGACCCTATTTGGCCTCCCAAATCCCCGCGGCCAAATGTCAGCCAAATACATGTTGCTGAAGATGGAAGCCAAAGTAGCAAACCTACGAACGTCATGGGCACGAGGATAGATCACAGGCTGGCTAGACTAAATAACACTGCGGACCACCTGGGAGACCCAAGCCCTGGAACAGGGAACGAGAGAAACCGGATCAACCCAAAGCACGTCCCAGGCCACTGAAACCGAGGCATGCAAACAACGCCGAAGAGCTACAACCGGACACAACACATGATGCACCCCAGCCTGACCAACCAAGCATCAATGACCCAAGGGCCCCTCCAGAAAGCCGCCATCTCGTTCTTCGCCAGAGAAGGAGGAGACGGCTGCAACCAAACCAACCAACCTCCAGGACCGAAGGAGCAAAAACCACTGCACAGGAGGAAAGCATAAAGTTCACCAACCCGACCCCCAGAGGCATATGCCAACAGAAACTGAGCCTTGGTGGCCCCTTCGGCTCAAGAACAACCCTCCAACTTGCACAAGGCAAGATGGAACTCAAGAGGACACGCTCACTGGTCAACTTAGCCTGACAGGGGGTTTCCAGGGCCCCACTTGGGGAATGTGTCTCTTCGGGAAGCCCATGCACTGGTGCTGCTAAAGCCGGTTGCAACCCCGTATTATCCAGGCAAACTGGCCCCTGTGAGCTGAGCAACCTATGAGGCTCAGAGGAGGACTGCCATAATGAACCTAGGTATCATCTAATAGGCACCCCGACAGCCTCCCAGCGGATAACAGAAAACTATAAGAAAGAGAACCCCCGGGGAAGCACCACAACCCAGGAAACCATTAAGAGTCACAGCCGCCGCAATTATGTAAGCTGGGCAGCACAGTGTGCCCTATCCCACAACAACCACTCCCCACCCAGGGCCAAACGAAAGTAACGACACCTAAACTGACTCCAAGGATGACACAGAAAGCCAAGCAGCTGCTACCTCTATGGAAATGGGGACCCGAAGAACCCAGAGAAGCGGCGTCTGAACCCCAAGGGGGTGTACTCACAGAACACTTTGGGAAGGGAGCCCTAAGTGCATGCAGTCCTTGGTACGAACTTCTGGCCACCGCCAACGTCCAGCAGGAATACCAGCAGGAACACCAGCAGAGTGAAGCCAATCAGGCAAATGAGACTAGAGCAGACTTTTATCCCAAATAGCTCCAGCTGGAGCCGGTCGGCCGAGCGGACAGCACACTGGACTTGTGATCCTGTGGTCCTGGGTTTGATCCCAGGCACCGGCGAGAAACAATGGGCAAAGTTTCTTTCACCCTATGCCCCTGTTACCTAGCAGTAAATAGGTACCTGGGTGTTAGTCAGCTGTCACAGGCTGCTTCCTGGGGGTGGAGGCCTGGTCGAGGACCGGGCCGCGGGGACACTAAAGCCCCGAAATCATCTCAAGATAACCTCAAGATAGCCGACAAACTGTCGGTGTGGCTGCCGGCTCGATGGGCTGGGACCCCCTCTTCCTCTCCTGGTCCCAAGAAGGAGATGGGGGGGGGGGGGGGGGGGGAAGGGTGTCAGTGCGAACGATCGGCGAGCGGTGTGATGATGTGTTGCTTGTTAACTTGTTTTCCTTTGGGGGAGTTTCTAGCTTCTGTTTGGTCTCAGGTTGCAATTTTTCTACCATAAGGGGTGTGTTTTGAAGTGCCTACCTTTCTGGGTGCTCAACCCTGGTTGATAAAAGACATGAATACAATACTTTCATATATGAGAGTTTCATAGGCCATTGCTCCTTTTGCCTCTCTGAGGGGAGCATGTTCTGGCTAGTGGTCCCCAGTAGGCACGACAGCTCCATATGACTGAAGCCTCGTACTAATATTTGCTAATATCAGTCCAATAGCTCCAGGGAGCCGACGGGGCTCCCCCACAGAAAAGCAGAAAACAATGAAATTCTTCACAAAGAAGTCAAGCGTGGTCGTCACTAGACGGGATACACTAGTAAACTGAGGGTGCCTCGCCCCATGCCCAGCAGAATCCACGTGCTCATCAGCCCATACATATATCAACAAACTCAAAATCCGAGGCAAACCATGTTCACAGAGTCAAATTTTACAAGGAAATTGACCTCGTATACCAAAAAATTCATAAAGAGTCTCTTCCACTATCTTTCCATTACACAACTTGATAGTAGTGGTCCAGGACATACCAAAATGTCATTGTTTCTTTATTTTCTGATAAGTAGTTTTAACAACATGTGAGATTCTTTTAGCTGGCCCTGCTGTGGTTTTCAGCCCTTTGGGCCTGTTGTCTCAACCTGCGTCTGAAGTTACTAATTCTCGTGTACTCTTCATTGTACAGTCAGCTAAAATAGTGTTCAGTTATTTTTCTAGCAAAAGCAGACGATGAGTCACAATAACATGGCTGAAGGTATGATGACCAAACCACACACCAGAAGATGAAGAGATGATGAGGTTTCGGTCCGTTCTGGACTATTATCAAGTCAATTGTGATAATGGTTCAGGACGGAGCGTAATGCTGTCGTCTCTTCACCTTGTGGTGTGTGTGGTTTGGTCATCATTTCTGGCAAAACTTCCCCATAACTGGATAGCAATCTGGATAACCGGAGATTTGACCAGATGGTGTATACTGACATACAGTACTGTATATTCTAAATCAAGTCTGTATAACATTCTGCTAAACTTCACCATATGGGGACAACAAATCTGGAAACCGGAGATTTTGCTGGATACTACAGGTAGGTATCAGACCATACCGTATTAATTTTCCATGTATGTATTTAAGTTTGGTATCAATTTGTTCGCAAGAGGATGCTCTAGAGGAATATATATATAAAATTTCACCAAACCCGACATGAGACCCGCACCAAATATAAAACTATGGCGATCATTAGCCGCGAGCGTCAAACCGCGCTGAAATGTTTATGCTCTTTTCATGTTGTCAACCCCAGAATTGTTCTACATCGTTAATTTTGGTATCACTGTGACCGCAATAAAATTCTCTACACGGACATATGAATATAAAATACAAATCATGGGCGCGCCCCACCCGCAACACCGTGGGAAATTGCCCAAGGGTTACCCGCTACCGCACGCCCAACTGTACATGCGCTACACCACTACTGAAAAGTTTATACTCTTCTCATGTTTCTGACCTTCATTTTCGATGTACGTGTTTTATTTTGGTATCAATGTGTTGCCAATGAAATATTTTATAGGAACATATGTATAACATGTCACCAAAGCTAAC